TATATTTTGTGGTGTTGAAAGTCATATTATTAGTGTTTTTATTGCCGGTAGTAGCAGCTTTGGTCGTAGTGTCACTTGCAATGTCAGTATTTTCTTCTGCAGATGAACGTCTGGCACCATCGGTGACAGAGTGGTGTCATGCCTGCCTGAGAAGGTTCATCATGAGCTCTACCAAAGCATGTCAGGCATGCAGGTGAAAGACTGCAATGTGATTAGTCTGTCCTGCAGGATTGTGATAAGAGGCCACAGTTCATGCATATCACCGAAGGAGCAAGTATTTGACTTGACTTGGAAAAGGTGATACTTAATACTCGCTGAAAAAGTTCAATCCACGTTCAAGTCAATCACCTTTCATCTGCTAATTGAGTTGCTAAACTCCATCGGGAAAGACGGGCGTCTATGAATGTCAATTCCTGGACCATTTTTCATGTATTCTACACTTGCTTATTGCAAACAGCCCCCGTCTGCTTCCTCGACGAGACAGCGACGGACCTCGAGGGCCGTGCGTAATGGAGAGCCTATGAAAACTGTGTTTCCTGAGAGCATACTGTACTGCCTTTGGTCTTAAGTGAATTATAACCTGAATTTGACATTTTCTAATATCCTACACCAAACTTTTTGTTTCAAAGAGATAGGGGCGGTAATTGCTGCACCAGAAGAAAGACTGCCGATCCTTCTGGGTATTGCGGGTGACTGTGGGGACAAGGCGAGATTGAACATGGTAATTGCAAAGACAAGGGCTGAGAATAAATGGGAACAAAAGAGAGTTCTTTACTGTCAGATAGAGGAAGGTCAGACGCACAAGTGTATGACATCCGTGCATGTTACAGTGTATTATTCACAGCACTCACAGGGGACCGCTACCTTTTCTTAGATATCCAATTCATCGCTTTGCTTTCTGACAAAGAGAGGAGATGATCTCTGCTGATCCCCCCCCCCCCACCCAACTGCACTGAAGTAACAAGATGTGATACCAGATGCGAGGACGTCAACAGCGCTGGGTCGCGCTGGATGTCAGAGCAGGACACCGTATGCTTATTTCCCCCCTCCTGCCCAAGTCATTATTTCATTATTTGATGAATGCCTCCACGGTGTTGTCAGAATGCTTATACGTTTCCTCAAAGATGAAAGACAAACGGCAGCAATTTCTTTCTTCAGATTAGATATTGATCACGGCTAGTGCGCTGGGCGTCAGATATCTTCTCTGAAAAATGAATTTCAATTGGTTAGAAACCCCACTTTGGTATATTCATTTTTCTATTACAAAGACGGGCGCCACAGCGCCATGTGTTTTGTGGGCTTTTTAATAGAGAATATCCATTTTTCTTTTTTTTCTTTTTTTGGCTACCATATTTTCTGATCAGCCTTGTTTGCGTTTTGTCCCACTCAGTTTGGACCCGGTAACTTCAAACAGTGCCGTCCCATTTGGAGACTGAAGCGAGAGGACGGGGAGCCGTCTGACTGACTAGAGGCGCGGCGCACTACACGGGATAGAAGAAATGTCAGAGGGAAATAAATAGGACCAATGTCCCACACGTACAGTCTATTACGTCTCTCCGTAATAGACTTTCATGAGGATTGTAAAAGGAAATGGCAGCCCATATTATCCGAACAATATGAATAACTCTGCGTTGTGTTGTCATTTTCGGTCCGTCTGAGATGAAGGGTTCTCTTACTGTACCTTTAAAAACAAGAGCGTCCTTTGATATTTAATCTTCATCGTCGTGCATATTTGACTGAGATGCCAGATGAGTCAAATGCAACCAAATAAAACATTGCCGTAGTTTCTGTCGCTGATTGTTTTTTTTAGAGGGGACAATAATAAACAAAACCACAAGTATAAGCAGTGTTTCTTCTCAGAAGCGCAGAGGCTGGCCTCGGACGCACTCGCACGTTGTTATGAATAATTTCTGTGTCTTTCTGTAAAAGATGACAACAGCAGTGAAATCACTGTTGCTCAAAGGAAGCATTAAGGCCGAGATAACTCTGAGGCTCCAGAGACAGGCAGGAGTAAACAAATAATGATGTTCCTGTGTGCATGCTCCTCCATAGACGGGTCTTAAGCACAGCACAGTAGGTCATTACAGAAATTCAATCCACTGGAATTTGGATTCATTAGATGCGGATTCTGTGAGCGACTCCCGTGTGACCTTTTCAGTTGGGGATTTCAGACAGGAAGTCACTCAGTTGTGTTTGTTTTCCGTCTTCCAGTCTCCACTGGCTGTGTAAAACATTTTATTTGTTCACTCTGGACAAATAAAATGTTATTTAGCAATTGTTGCGTTGTATATATTTCTCCCTATAGGCGCTGGTTTAGAGGTTATTTGCCGTGACTGCATTCATGCATCATATCCCAAATGACTTTGTCTCCACAGTGGACTTTTATTCCATGCAGTCAGAGGAAACGCTGTCGCTTTGTATGTGGTGCCAGTGTGGCGGCCGGGTGTGAATTATCTCACTGATTTTGTCAGGGTAAGACAAACAGGCAGAAGAGCCTGTTACGAGGACATCTCGAGTTCTTCACAACCACAAATGGAGGACGTTATATGCCAATGATGTTTATTGAAGTTCTCCCAAGCCGTAAAGTGCCAGGTGCTCACAGGTGCCAAAGCATGGACAAATAAACAATAAAACACCTTCGATGTACAAAATAATGATCTTGCATACAAGCTCAGACTTCCGTCAGCGTACTCAGCACATATTGCCTGCACTGCCACCAGGCATAGCCCACCACTCCTGATCGCTCCTAATTCATACCCTGTTAACCCATCCATCACCTCCCTGCATACAATTAACTACAAGACCCGAGTGCTGTCGGGCTGAAATGAAACATCTCCAAGTGGCATTCAGCTGTTACGCATACCGGGAGTTACTCTTCATAGACTTGTGTGTTTTTTGTACGCGCCCCTCCCCCTCATGAACAGAAATGTGTGCGTCTGCTCGGCCCTTTAATTTGATGCAGATTTTAACCCCGCACTCCTGAAGTAATGCTTTTGACTTTGAAAAGCTCTCACACATCTGAGGAACACAGCTGATGATTTAGCGCTGCGAGCCGTGCCGTGAATCACCGAGGCTCTGCAGGATCTTCTGCTCTGACTCAAACATGAAATCCCTCTCGCTCTCTCCCTTTTAATCGCCACTGAAATACATTCAACATGTCCGCTTATAGGCCTTCTAATACTTCTTTATTTCTGCATTGCACTCTTTTTTCTTTTTTTTCGGAATCACATGTTAATGAAGAGCGTCATTATCGACCCTAAATATTTAATTTTCCGCTCTGTGTCTGCTTCTGAGGGGAGGCTGGCTGGAGGAGGGCGGGGGGAAGGGAGCCATGCTGTGGCATCAGCCTTATCTGCATCTGTTGCCTTAAAGTCCGCTGTAGTCTGGCAGTGTTTCAGTCCAGGTTGCAGGCCGGCCCCGGTGTAACTGCACTGCACCGCGCTTCCGATTCCCTGCTCCAGTGTTGCTCTTTGCCCCTCAGCCCCGTCTCTAAACTCCGTCCCCGGCCTCAGCATTCGCTCCAGAGAGGCTGCGTGCCCTTGTGATAAGGTGTGAGGCCTGTCTGCCTCTGACTGACAAGCCTGCTCCTCGCCATGCCAGTGCCTGCTGCTCGATAAGGGGAAATGTCAGCGTGCACTGAAAAAAGCGTAACAAAGCTGTTGTTCATTTAATGTGTTTTTTTTCATTCCAATGAATAAAAAAAATTACTTTGCTCTATTAAACTAAACTTTTTTATTTATGGGTTAGGGTTTAATCGAATATTTTACTTCACTACAATGTAAACTGATAGCAAGGCACCAAACTGATTTTTTTATTTTAATCAAAGCATTTTTATTAGATTGAGATTGATTCGCGCATGCGCATTTTTAAAAAAGTTCTGGCGGAAACTTATTTCCACCTCAATCTTCCATTGCAGAGGACGTTGTGAAAAATATCAGACCCCACGGCATTTTGGTAACGTTAAGGTAAGTCATTACGATTTTTAAAGATGACTGGGCGAAAATGTTAGCCCGCAGACAAAGTGTCTGTCTTAAGTGTCTTAAGTGTTTGCTTTTGTGGGCAATTAATCGTTCGGCTAGGGTTGGCGCTGGGGGGAGGGGGTTCGCCGTTCGGGACATTAAAATCGTCATTGACAGAACAGAGGTCCTCAGAGAGGTGCCCACAATAGCAACGGCTGTTGCTATGTTCTTCGGGCTCACCTATGTTCTCAACATAAAATATCCCAAAAATCTGCACTATACCCTTGAGTTTGTGCAAAAGGTCCTGATGAAGCTTGGTGGAAAAAAGATGTCCCCAAAAATTCATAGGCTGAGTACCCAGCTTGGCAGCCAAGAGTAGGCACAGTAGAGTTCCACTGTTAGGCCTGATTTAATGGCATTTCTACAACCAAGACTTTGCACCGTTTTATCTGGGGTTGGTGTTTGAAACACGCACAACTACATTTCTGCTACAGTATGGACAAAAGAATCTGCCTAAGGTTTCACAGGCACAAGTGGGTATTGTGCTGGAGAGCACTGATTTGTTTATTGCAGCATTTTCTGACCAAGAGGATCAGGAGCTACCTCACTCGTTTGCAAGTTATGGAACTGAGGACGTTCACACACATCACTTTTGATTTTAAGGAATAATTCCTCTCTGACTGTATTACATTGCATTTTCAAATGGTCACTGTTCAGTGAGAAAAATGTTCCCAAATGCTGTTGGTTTACTTGAAAATGCATGTCTTCATTACTGTTTGTGTTTGAGATGTGATGGTTGAGAAGCACTGGTTTATGTTAATACAATGAGATGTTGCTGTTGTTGCTGTTGTTGTAATCAGGCCTAACAGTGGAACTCTACTGTGCCTACTCTTGGCTGCCAAGCTGGCAGCTTCATTTTCCTGCACACACAAAAAAACAAGAAATGAGGACAATTGGAAAGAACATTTCCTGAAGACAATGCATGTCAATGCTGAACATCATTGATGAAGCAAAGTTGGTATATAGATATTGTTTGTGTTAGTGAGGGAGATGCCCTTACCTGGCAGTCTTTAATGAGATGATGAACAGGTTCACCCAGGTAGATCAAAGATTTTAAGATGCACTCTCTTCTAATTGTGATGTCCACGGTCTGAGGAAATATAGGTATTAATAAAAGCACATACACACCAACTATTCAACTATGGATCGCATTAAGAACCAATTCATAAATAGATACCTCATCTAAAACCTGCAAAGTTGCCTTGGTCAGCTCTTTCACACGCCCTCCCTTGCTCCTGATGACCTCCAGCAGTTTTGACGTGTGCTTGTCCAACTGCGCTAAGAACTTTGTCTCCAAGGGTACTGTTGTCACCCGCATGAACTCAGCATTAATCTGGAGAAACAATAACAGAGCACGCAGAAAGAACTTTTAAAAAGTGTATTAAATAAATTCTCCTCTGAAAAGACCTAAGTTTTTAAGGTTAAAAAAAATCATCTTTCATGAATGCTCATGAACACCATTGGCATTAACAAATATATGAAGTCCCTCTCCTCTCAAAAATAGGCTTACAGTGCCTTGCATCTGAAAACATACCTCTTCCATCTGAAAAAGTGCTGGCCATCTTGTCAACATGTCTTCAATGCTTATGCACTATTTCTTGTCTACGGTATCCAAACGTCTTTGCCATCTTTTCTTTTATTGTTTGACGGTTGTTGTTTTTCTGTAGTTTACATTTCCACATACATGGATAACTGAGGAAAAATAAAAAGGCAGAGGAAAGGACGGTTTTAGGAGAGTGATCTAATTATCACAAATACACTCATGATATTGTACTCAGAACTTACTACAATAAGATGAGGGACTTCCAAACTGGTGGTTGCACAGCAGGAACACAGTGGATCTTGTGGCAGCTCTCCTTAAATTAAGAGAAAAAAACGTTTTAATGATGGATATTCTCAATGTTACATGAACTACATCTTAATACAGTTTAAAAATGACAAAACATTATTATGCCTTCTGTTCTTTTTAAATCGGATTTACTATGCCTATGAAATAAAATACCTGACAAAACATTATTTAAGTTGCTTCATTATTACACAGGTCAGTTTAGCTTTACCAAAACGAGAAAATACAGCACAGTAAGCAATAACACGTGCTAACGCCGTGTATAGTGTTAGCTAGCTAGTTAGCTACGCGCTAACGCCGTATATACGCTTTTCAGAATGTAAACGTCGACTGGAACACTGCCGCCATCTGCTCCCACCTCACCCGCCTCCCTCCCGAACGGCGAACCCCCTCCCCCCAGCGCCAACCCTAGCCGCACGATTAATTGCCCACAAAAGCAAACACTTAAGACACTTAAGACAGACACTTTGTCTGCGGGCTAACATTTTCGCCCAGTCATCTTTAAAAATCGGAATGACTTACCTTAACGTTACCAAAATGCCGTGGGGTCTGATATTTTTCACAACGTCCTCTGCAATGGAAGATTGAGGTGGAAATAAGTTTCCGCCAGAACTTTTTTAAAAATGCGCATGCGCGAATCAATCTCAATCTAATAAAAATGCTTTGATTAAAATAAAAAAAATCAGTTTGGTGCCTTGCTATCAGTTTACATTGTAGTGAAGTAAAATATTCGATTAAACCCTAACCCATAAATAAAAAAGTTTAGTTTAATAGAGCAAAGTAATTTTTTTTATTCATTGGAATGAAAAAAAACACATTAAATGAACAACAGCTTTGTTACGCTTTTTTCAGTGCGTTTATCGTGGCTCTCTGACCGTGTCTGTAACCCAGACTGATTGTGGTTGCTGGACATTTATATCACTGGGGCTGGCTGGGGAAATTGTACAAACGCCATGTTTTTCTGTGATAACGACGCTTAATATCCTCTTAGTCGTAATGTGTTGAGGTTTTGTTCCCTCACCTTCTTCCTCCCTCGTCTGAATAGTCTTAACGCCACGTTTTGTTACCCGCTTATGAAGAACGTGCGAGACGCCATGAAAGTGTCTGGCGTGCGGAGGCGTTTAGATAAGGGATTCACTCCACACCCAAACAAAGACTTGCACCGCTCTGCGCGTATTGTGAGCAAGCCATGAGTCCAAGTGTGTGTTTGTGGTGTAAGAGGAGCCCCGGATTCAAGTGACAATCTGCTGTCAGAGTGTGTGTGTGTGTGTGTGTGTGTGTGTGTGTGGTGGATAGGGGACATCTTGCTGTATCATTTAGAAAGATGATCCTCGCTAAAGATGAGTGGGTTAACAGGAACCAATAATTGGTTTAGCAGGATCATATTGACGGTAGTTCCGGCTCCGCCGCGAGGAAGAGAAATGTCCACGTTGAGATGCATTCAAAAGCTCCTGCCTTTTTGTTGTCGTTGTTGTCGTTGTTGTTGTTATTTTATTTTACGCTGCGAAGGCATGCGCCGTGAAGATGGACTCTTTCCGTTTACCTTTACGCCTTTTTAGGTTTTGATTTGTGGATCCGAGATGAAGCCGAGTTGTGTTTGTACTCGCGTCATCACTTTTAATGTCTGATTCAAAACCCAAGCTGTCATGTATTATTCAGGGAGTTTTTCGTCTTTTCTCCAAAGCACTTTAGCGCTGCACCTCGGCTTGCTGCAGGCTTCGGGAGCCGCGCAGTTCAGAGGAGGGTCTATGATTCAGTGCTGTATATTTCTCCCCCCCCCTCATTGTTGACTCAAAGTGACATTTATGGGACACCCTGATGAAGCAATTCTTCCTGCTGCTCAGACCTGGCCGGCATCTTCAACAGATTTTGTCATTCATATGTATCCCAGGCTGCGAGGCCGAGATAGAAAGAAGTGTCTTTGTTAATATGTGGGCTTACTCCTTTGGCCTACCTGCGCGGCGGAATAATAATACCAGAGGATGAACGGCCGTCCAGGCGTTCATCTCTTCAGCCATTGAACTCATAGCATTGTTTATTACAGGCACAACATGCTAAACTGCCCGCTCTCGGGAGAGACGAGCACAGAGAGAGAAAGGGGCGGAAACACTGCCCTTATATGGAAGTGGTGCTATTGATATCACATGACTCCAGGCCAGTTACAGTTACATGCATCCATACACTCTTAACAGTCTTTAACACGGGTGGGGGGGCTCTCGGGAGCGTTGTGAGAGTGTTGTCCCCCCACTCTTAACCAAACGTACTCCTCGCCTGACTGTGGAATTCTAACAAAGACACAGACCTGTGAGAGTGAGGGATGCAGAGGCAGGCTTCCCTCTCTCCGTTCTGTCTGTTTCCTGTTTTCATGGGAGGGACACGGAGACAAACCCATTCGTCAGAAACGGACGGGGAGTGAAAAAGGAAGACGAGACTGAGAAGCCAACCTCCTCTCTGTGACGTTTCATTTAGCACACGAGAACCGAAAGGAGAACAACGCTTGTTTATTATAATGAACCAGAGATGCTTATGTTGAATAGACGGTGAGAAAACAAGATGCATGTTTATAGTGAGTTGGATTTGACTTCCGAGTCAGCGCTTGTCGCAATGCAAAATTGTGCAGGACACATTGGGAATATTCTGTATGTTTTCACACAGCCGCATTCGGATTTGGTCGAAATTAGTATTTTTTTTCTTCCCGATAACTCATCTTTTCGCCACGCCACAATTTCCTTGTGAACGCGAGTGAGTCAGAAGAGAAAAAGCCACTTCAGACATAAACTCATGAGCACACTTGATTAACAAGTGGATTAACTATGCTCGTTTCATGGGATGATGTACCTCAAAGCACTTCAAAGGCCACGCCGAGTGCCCACGAGCTGCAGTAATGAGGGCTTCTTCTGCACAACGGCGAATTTGGTGGCCCGCCGATTCATGTGAACCTGATCATTTTCTCATTTTGTGTGCGCTGGCTTTTTTTTCTCTCTGCTGGCTGCTGCTCAGATTTCTCTTGTTACCCCTCACACATTTTTTAGATTCAATTTTCTAAGTGCCGTACCTCCGTCCCCCTGAGAAGCACCGCGCGTCTTCTCTCTGGTCTCCAGTCGAGAGGAGCGCTCACACGTTCCGCTCTCCCTTCTCTCCCTCTCTGCATTTTTATTATTTTAATCTGGCAAGCACATGAGAGATAGTAATCTACACTTCAATTACATCGCACAAGTCATCAGATGCTATCTGGCGCAGGTGATAGAATGTGCTCTGAGGCAGCCCAGCGCCACTGTGAAACAGCCCCTAGAGAGCCACAGTCTCAGCGTGTGTGCATTAGAGCATGGATCGGGTCGACTTTTTCTGTCCGAGTCCGACCGGAGTCAATGCCTCAACTGTTCATAATAATGACACATTCACGAACGTTTTTTTAAAAATAAATAGCCTGCCTTTATTAAACTCAGGCATCAACAGATAAATATACTCGCTCAAACAAACAAGCGCTGTTAAACGCACGAGCACGTTGAAAATAAATTATAAACAATGCAAAGACGGAGAAATAGAATACACACGACACAAAACTATGTACATTTTAAATATGGAATGTTCAATGCCTTATCGCGCTGATGTGTCCGAGCCCGACTATATTTTCTGAATATTTACCCGAACCCGGCGGATACCGACGGGTCGGGCCGGGTATAGTGTGCATGATGTGTGAGTTCCATCTATCCGTGGTGTGTGTGTGTGTGTGTGTGTGTGTGTGTGTGTGTGTGTGTGTGTGTGTGTGTGTGTGTGTGTGTGTGTGTGTGTGTGTGTGTGTGTGTGTGTGTGTGTGTGTGTGTGTGTGAGCTGCAGGAACAGAAAGGCCGACAGACTGAGAGAGAGAGAGACTCTGGTAACTATCAGTATAACACACGTATTTGCCAGCAGGGCACAGTATTTAACCTCGGTTTGTCATTGCACTGATTGTTATCGTTAGATTAATTCAGTTTGAAATGAGCGGACTGTGTTGTAATAAGAGAATGGATTTTGTGCATCGTTTATCATCCGAGTTCCTCATTGTAACCAGCAGAGGGCTAATACACACGTGTTTTAAGCTATTTGTCTACAAGGCAACCGCTTGTCCCCTATTAGATTCAGCCAGAACTTTTCTGTTAAAAAGACATTTTAATGCCACTCACAATATGAGGTTTTAAAAAAAGAAGTTGATCATATCATTTTAAAATGGTGTTTTTCGTATCAGCCGTCACAACTCTTAGTATGTCCAGAAAACATATACCCAGATAGCAATGAGTCGGCGGGCCGCCGGCGGTTCGCCAGAGATCGTAGCAGCGGCAGAATGGCGTAATGGCAAACACGTTTGCTGGCGGACCGCCTTCCTTTCGCGGACGGACAGCAGGTCAACCGCCGTTCCGCCGCAGTTATAACAAAGGCAGCTTTACCGCGGCCCGCCGGAGGCAAACGCTATTTTGGAGCGATCCGATATATTTATTTATTTATTTATTTATTTTATATATCGAGATATATATATATATAATAAATAAATAAATATATATATATATCGATATATATATATTTATTTATTTATATAAATAAAATGTTTCTAGCATGCAGTTTATCTAGAATAATGATTGATCAAACCAGACAAATTTCCATTTGAGGTTTTAATTCCACATTTCAGTACAGTATTGAAACAAGATGTGTCAGCAAACTGAAATATAAATAAAAAAGAAAACAAAAAAGATATATATATTCATAAAATATACACACACACAGAACATGCTGGGGTGTCAGTAGTTTAGACAAGCCTAGGTTTAAGAAGTCGGCTGTAGGTCCCTCACATCTACTTAAGAGAATATCTAACTTACTTTGAACAATGGTCTTCAGGAACAGGTCTTTAAAACAAGCTTTAGCCCCTACACCAGTCCAAGTTGTAGAAATTGAAAGGCGATTTGAGAAGATACTCTGAAGCATTCTCCAAACGGTTGTCTTCAGGTCCTTCCCACATTGATGGCCAAAAACCGGAGCTGAAAATCCCCAAAAATGCTCCAAATTACATTTTGCTGAAGCTTCTCATACATAAATATCAAATGTCACAGGCTGTGAATTCAGACTGTCGAATATGCAGTGTACAATCTTAATTTTACTTTAGATTAACCTACAGCGTTAGAAACTATAGCAGCACACTTAAAAATGGTTCCTGGAGCTCGCTATCCTGCCTCAAGCTGCTGTCGAGCAACGCCAAATCTTCCTGAGTGTTTATGGGGAGTAAAAGACAACCTTGCAGGGATAACTCTCCAACAGACACATTGGCACTGAAATGTTGCAGCAATGTGTCCATTTTGTTTTCCATGCTACGCAC